TTCTTTTCATTTTTCTTGAAGTTCAGGAGCAGATGGATAATTATCATCATAATTCACATTACATGCTGATAATTTATTATTTAATAATTTGATTATTCCTTCACGCTTTTTAATGTTTGGTAAACGAGCTAAATCAATTTGTTTTAAATTCCTACAATAAGACTTTTTGTTTTTATTGTTAAAATATCAATTCTATACTTTAAATCAGTTAATCCGTCTATTTAGACAAGAAAAACAACTAAAAATATTAATAATATAATATTAATTAATAACAAAAACCGAAATAAGAAGGTGTGGGTGTGTGGGAAGGGATCTGAATATAGAAAATATTTTGACCAATACCCACACCCACACCCTCACACATTTTGTGAACCCCTCACAAGCGGTGAATCCTTATTAATATTGATATTATTAGCGAGGAACAGTATTTACTGATGTTTCTCTCATGAAAAAAACTTTAAGTAACACTCTACTACTGATAACAATTTCAACTCGTTTGGTCGACATCTGGCAAAGATATTTGAATTTCTTATCTCCATGTTATTTATGGCTCACTCTGTATATGTAATTATTTTATTGTTTGTTCAACACAAAAAAAAAAGAATGAAACAGGAGGAGTTAGTTGATGGACTGGCATGGTTTATGACTTAATGCGCCCAGAACCTAATTAGTATCAGCTGTGATTGTTATATTCAACTGAACGCCGTCGTAAAGGTAGTTCTTGTCCTCTCCATATCCAACCTCGAATTGTAGATAGTCTCCTTCGTTCAAGTAAATATTATCAAACGTAAATCGTCCGGTGTTTCGTTTGAGCCATAGCGAACGTAACTCGACGTTGTTGACAGAAAGATGAATATCCGTCGAGGGTCCTGGAATTTCTGGTCCAGCTGTGGTGAAGAAAACAGCATCAATATGGTAAGTATCTGCTGATGGAACAGTAAAACGAATGCATGCTCGAGTATTATTCGGACCTGGATGAAAGAGAAGCTGACCTGGCGCCAAGTTGTATTCGTCTAACCCATATTTGGCGAACTTATCCTTGTTCGTATTGTGTATAACCCAGCCCATACTGTCAGATCGGTTCGACAAAACATTGGCATAAACTGCGACACCATCCATACCTAGGGATGCATTATAAAATGGGAACCGGCCATAGACGCTTGGTATGTAGTCTTGGTACAACTCAAATGAAAGATGATCGTCGGGCTGTACAAAGCCGAAAGACCATAGTCCATTGGGATTCTGACGAGTGAGCGATTCGTTGGGTTGATAGATGACTCTACTCGCATTAGAGTTGCAGAGCATTATCACGAGGTACAAGATCTTCCAGAGCATATTGCTTGACGACATATATTTTGATTCTACGCTTGTTACTCTTGCGATTAGTTATATATAGCTCGACTATTCTGTTTTTTTCTTTTTCACGATTCCGCGAAGTGAGCGACAGTGTTTGATAATATCAGCCTTAGTAAGAGAGCAAACATATTATTTGCCTTTCTTCAGCCCTAACTGAATGTGAGAATAAGCACAGCTGAGAAATATGGTAGCTGGGATTCACATTTATTTATCGTCACTTCCATTTTAAATATTTATCTTATGTCCATCGTGATCCACAAGCTTCCCTTGATGCACTGTAAAAGAAAAAATGGGTAATAATAAAGCCACAATCTCCGTTTACGACTATAAAATCAGTTTATGAGTGTAGTCATCTCTCTCATCAATCCTTTTTTCAAATACAGAATGGATATGGGGTGGTGAGGGTGTGGGAATGCGTGTGGATATACAGTTCATCTTGCCCAATACTCATATCTACAACCTCAAGATTAAGACAACCCATGACTGAAGCTAATATTCATGTAAAAATTATTGAAGTATAAAAAAAGAACTTTTCTTTCAAAAAATACACTTTTTTCATTTTTCTATTATATAGGATCGAGTAGGGAAAATGGTACAATCAATGACTAAAATGAAAACATAAATTTTTTTTATTTCTATGCAATAAAAAAAGAACTCGAAAAAAAAATAATAATTTCTTTTCATTTTTCTTGAAGTTCAGGAGCAGATGGATAATTATCAT